TGTGTCTGGAGGCAGTGTCTCTGTCTTCCAGTGCGCGAGCAAGCATATAACTCACTTTTCTCTGATGAGCCAGCGCTTCCTCTTTGTCATTCAACTGCATGCACAGAAAGGAAAAAGGCAGTGTCAGTTGCCGCACAGGTAGCTGTCTAGCGCAACAAAGATGGAATTAAAGGAAAATCGATTAGCTTTAAGACAACCTCTAACAGAATGCAAATATACTAACCAAGTCGATTAGCCTCTGAAAGACTTCTTGAGGGTTATCCGGGTCTGCAGACCTCTTCAAACCGCTTTCGGAAGGGAGCATTCCCAACAGTCTCTGCCCTAACGTCTTCTTACTCTTTCGGGAGAGGAAGCCTGAGGTTGAACATGGAAACTCGGCTGAGACCGAAACATATCAAACTGATGTCCTTCCCTAAAACAGGTAGCTCCGAACCCAGGTTAATGCAATCCTAAGTCAGTCAGGAGGGGTCTTCGTCAGGAGCCCTTGAGGGCAGTCATCACGTTGATTCTGTAGAAATGCCCCTGTGGGTGGCCAGGACTGGAACTCGTTACCGGACTAGAAAGCCAACCTTTCTCACGCAAAGCAGCTGGTGGGTCCCAACTGCTGACCTTGTGGTTAGCAGCCCAAGATGGACTATGTTACCTTTTTTCATCACCTAACCTTGGTTGCAGGGAGCCCTCGTGGTGTGGTGGGTATACAGTGGGCCGCTAACCACAAGGTCAGCAGTTAGAAACCACCAGCCGCTCCTCGGGAGAAAGATGAGGCTTTCTACTCCCATAAAGAGTCACAGTCTCAGAAACTCACTGGGGCAGTTCTACCTTGTCCTATAGGGTCGCTATGAGTCAGCATTGACTCACTGGCAATGAATTTGGTTTTTTGGAACCTAGGTTGGGCTTCAGAATTATACTTTCCGCTTTGATCAGAGATCATTATCGAAAGCTGCCATGTGAATTTGATTTTGTGTTCACTGTAAGTTGTGGCTGAGGACTTTGTCATCATCTGTGCTCCATGGCCTCTGGAAGTCTGAGGTCAGAAATTACTCTCAGAATTTAGTGTCAGGGCAAAGGTGGAATGCCCTTTGAAGAACATGAGTTGTGAAACGGTTTCCTTTTGGCTCTGATGGGACCTTCCGTCGGATGATCGCTATAGATCTATCAAACCCAGACCAAACCACTGCCATCAAGTCAACTCTGACTCACCAAACAAAAACTGGAACCTCCCTGCTACTGCGTTGATTGCAGCTCACAGTGACCCTATAGGACAAACTGCCCCGCTGGGTTCTGAGAGTGGACCTCTTTTCTTTCTGTCTTTTCAAAACCATTTTATTGGGCACTAATTCCATAGTTCAATCAAGAGTGTAACTCTTTACAGGAGTATACAGCATTGTCTTTCTCCTGTGGAGTGACTGGTAGCTTTCACCTTTCAGTTAGCAGCCCAAAACATATCCACTATGCCATAGTCACTGTATTAGTCTAGGTACTTTGGAGAAACAAATCCACAGCGACTCATGGATAAGAGAGAGTTTTATGTAAAGAAAATGTGCATCACGAAAACATCCCAACCCAATGCTG